GCCGAAGAGGAGCCGAAGGGACCCGAACCCGGATCCGAAGGGTCCCGAACCAGAGCCGAACGGAGCCGAAGAGGAGCCGAAGGGACCCGAACCCGGATCCGAAGGGTCCCGAACCAGAGCCGAACGGAGCCGAAGAGGAGCCGAAGGGACCCGAACCCGGATCCGAAGGGTCCCGAACCAGAGCCGAACGGACCCGAAAGGAGCCGAAGCGGACCCGAATCGTTCCGAACGATCCCGAACCGGAGCCTAACGGAGCCGAAGGGTCCCGAACCGGAGCCGAACTGTCCCGAAAGGAGCCGAAGAGAAGCCGAACCGGGCCCGACTCGGTCCGAACGATCCCGAACCGGAGCCGAACGCTCCCGAACGGAGCCGAACGGAGCCGATCGCGGGCGGGGGCCGGAGGGGCCCCGGCGGCCGCTGGAGCGATGCTGCGACCCGGCCCGGTGAGTGGGACCCCCCCAGTATAGACCAGTAACCCCCAGTATAGACCAGTAATCCCCAGGATAGACCCGACCCGGTGAGTGGGACACCCCCAGTATAGACCAGTAACCCCCACTCTGGACCTGTAACCCCCATTATAGACCCGGCCCCCCTCCGCATCCCTCCCAGTATGGACCAGTCCCTCCCTCTGGCCCTCTTAGTATGGACCAGTCCCTCCCAGTCCAGCCCAGTTCCCTCCTCCAGCCCTCCCCCCACACCTCGGGTACCCTTTTTGGGGGGGTCGTTTGAAAGGGTCGTTTTAGGGGGTCGGTTTTGGGGGAGGTCATTTTTTGGGGTCATTTTGGGGGGTCGTTTGGGGGGGGGCAGGTTTGGGGGTCGTTTTAAGGAGTTTAGTTTGGGGGGTCGTTTTGAGGGTCCCCGTTTTAAGGGGTCGGGTTTGGGGGGGTCGGTTTGGGGGGGGGTTAGTTTGGGGGTCCCCTTTTTAGGGGGATTCGGTTTGGGGGGAGTCGTTTTGGGAGGTCAGTTTTGGGGGTCAGTTCGGGGGTCCCAATTAGGGGGATCGATTTAGGGGGTTTGCTTTGCAGGTCCCCTCGGGGAGGTTCGTTTTTGGGGTCCCCCCCCATAGGGCCCTCCCCCATCTATAGCCCCCCACCTCCATAATTAGAGGCTACAGGGCCCCCCCATCTATAGGAACCCCCTGTCTATAGGAGCTATAGGACCCCTTCAGCTCTATAGGACCCCTCCAATAATTAGGGCCCCCCCATCCGTAGGGGCTATAGGATCTCTCTCTAATTAGGGGCTATAGGGCCCCTCCAGCTCTATAGGACCCCTCATAATTAGGGCCTCCCATCCATAGGGGCTGTGGGACCCTCCAGGGCTCCTCATTTCCAGGATCCCCTCAAGACCCCCCCAAATCTGTGGGGGCCGAGCAGGGGAGGGAGGAGGGGTGTGAACATGCGTGTGAGCCTGTGTGAACACGTGTGTGTGTGCACAGGTGTGTGTGCACAGGTGTGTGTGCACAGGTGTGTGTGCGTGCACAGGTGTGTGTGCACAGGTGTGTGTCTGTGTGTGCACACGTGTGTGTCTGTGTGTGCGCACACGCATGTGAGTCTGCGTGAACACGTATGTCTGTGAACAGGTGCATGTTCACATGTGTGTGTCTGTGTGCACGTGTGTGTGTGTGTGTGTTCACAGGTGTGTCTGTGTGCACAGCTGTGTGATCGCAGGTGTGTGCACACGTGTGTGTCTGTGTTTGCACAGGTGTGTTCACACACGTGTGTGCGCACGCGCAGGTGTGCCTGTATCACGTATGTGTGTGTGTTCACACCTGGTGTGTGTGTTCACACGCATGTTCACCCCTGGGGGTGTGTGTTTTCACATACGTGTTCACACCTGGTGTGTGCTCACACACGTGTTCACACGTGACCTTCCTGTGTCCTGGGACACCGTGGGCCCCCCCGTGCCCCTCCAGGGCAGTTTTGGGGGGTCCCTGTTTGGAACTGGGGGGTCCCTGATTGACGTTTAGGGGTCCCTGTGTGGTTTTGGGGAGGTTTCCTCTTAGTTTTGGGAGTCCCTGTGTGGAGTTGGGGGTCCCTAATTGATGTTTGGGGGTCCCTGTGTGGTTTTGGGGGGTCCCCACATGATGTTGGGGGTCTCTGTGTGGTTTTGGGGGGTCCTTGTGCTGGTTTTGGGGGTCTCCGTGTGGCTTTGAGGGTCTCTGTGTGTTGTTGGGGGGTCCCTGGTTGATGTTTGGGGGTCTCTGTGATTTATTGGGGTGCCCTGTGCTGGTTTAGGGGGATCCCTGATTGATGTTTGGGGGTCCCCGTGTGTTGTTGGGGGTCCCCATGATTTATTGGGGGTCCCTGTGCTGTGTTTGGGTGTTGCCTCTCAGTTTTGGGGCTCCCTGTGTGGTTCTGGGGGGATCTCTGTGCGGTTTTAGGGGTCCCCTCCCAGTTTTGGGGGTCCCCACTCAGTTTGGGGGTCCCCTCTCAGTTTGGGGGTGGGGCAGGAGGGGGCGGGGGGAGGTATGAGGGGTCCCCAGGGGGAATTAGTGGGTCAGGAGGGGTCAAGGGGGTTCTGTGGGGGTCCACAGAGGGAGATAAGGGGACCTAGGGGGTCCTCAGGGATCTGGGGGGGCCCTCCAGGGGAGACTGGGGGGTCAGGAGGGGTCGAGGAGGGTGACCAGGGGGAGATAAGGGAGTCTAGAAAGGTCCTCAGGGGGAGACTGGGGGGTC